GACAAAAAGGAAGCAATTGACCGGGATTTGGAGAATATGAATTTTTTTGGCGGCAGCTGGGAAGTCGATGGGATGGATGGGTGCTCACACCACAGCCCACAGCACCCCAAAAATTTTCTCTCTGCTGTGTTGTGACTGCTGCGGCGGATTCTGGGTCTACATTCTGTTTTAGTTTTTCTTGATTGGGCCAAGCTTTTAATTAGCAAAAGTAATATAGTCAAGGGACACACATCCAGAATTTCATTGATCATCATTCCAGTTGGCAATACAAAAACAACAAAACTCAAGGATCAAAGTTGAAATCAAGCCAGCTGAATCCTTTCATCCCACATTAACTCCTGAGCAATCCATCTTTTTGATCATATCTTCTTTATCACTCAGAATAAACAAGCATAGAAACCATGAATCAATAATTTAATCAATCACTTGAATTATCACACCAACAAAATCAGAATCAAAGAAACAAACAGTCAAAATCAATATCAAAATCAAATCAAAATGTTGAGAAATGTCAGATTAGAAAGGTTTTTGAATAGTTTTATGAATGGTAGATCTACAAATGGTTTAAATGAAACTAAATCAAGTTCACCATCACTTCTGACTCATTTAGCTTCAACTGATACAAACACAAATACAGATACAAATACAACACCTACAAAATATGGAGCTGATTCTTCATCAAGATCAATGATGACCACTACCTATACACAATCCCCCACCATCACTCAATTTTCTTCTTCTTCTTCTTCACCTTTTTCCAGCAGTACTCCATTCCCATCCGCATCATCCCCCTCATCATTTCAAAAGATGAAGATGAAAGAAAGAGGATCAGATGAGATGGAATTAGATTTGTTGGGATTGGGAGATGAAGGGATCAGATCTAGATCTGGATTTGGATCAGGATCATCTTTATTGGCGAATGTGAACTTATTAGCATCACTTTTGAGACAGAATTGAAAGTTGAGTCCGTTTGTGAGATCAATTACTCATGTTGTTCCTAGATCTACTCCTACTACTGTTCAGAATCATAAGTCAGATTTTAGGAAACAAAGGAATGGGTTGGACGGAGTGGGGTTTAGGAGTTGGTTGAAATACTTGAAATCAAGATGATAAAAGCTTTTTTTCTCTTGTTGGATCATAAACATAGACGAGTGTAAGACCTATGGTCATTACATATACTTAAATAAATTACATCTAATAATTAACACCTAGACTTAAAAGTACATCTTTATATATATCTTTGTTTTCACATTCTACGCTTGGTTCCTTAGCGATTCGGGACTGACTTCCCACCCCTTATCCTTCGGAACCAGGTAAGCGTTATTCATTTCTTTTTCATTCATCATCTTATTTAAAGCTTGTATATTGTTGGAGCGATTCGGGACTGACTTCCCACCCCTTATCCTTCGGAACCAGTCTTACGTACTGTGTTTTGATAGATTATTGAAATCATAAGTCTCACGGGTTCTAGAAACCTGTCCCGCTGTGTGTTCCACGGCGTCCTCTTTGTGTGAAATCAGTGAAGGTATTTCGATCCTTACAACGAGCTAACAAAAAACAAAAAAAAACGAGTTTCATTTCATCTATCTGCCAAGTTTTCCTTTATTCTTAGTGCCAATAAATCTTACATCAATAACAATTGATAGAAGACCAATTGAACAAAATCATGTTTGCTGCTTAATCTCCTTAACATTCACATCTTTGGGTCTACATGATTCAAAATGTTATATGAGTTGAGAAACCAGTCAATCTTGTCAAAACTTGTATTTTATCTTTGTTTTGTTGCTAACTGCTTTTTTCAACTTTGATTCAAAGAGATACTTTTTTATTGTAAGGAGTTGTAGTTAAGCGATACTACAATACTATACTTGGTATAGTATAGTATAGTATAGTATAGTATAGTATAGTATAGTATAGTATAGTTGTATCATGTACTATACTATACTATACTGGCTTTTCAAAGTATAGCCAAAACTATACTATACCCGGTATAGTGCTATACTGGTATAGTATAGTATAGTGGCAGTGTTGCTCCTACTTGGAGCCAGGTAAGCACATCATTCAGTTGTCTTTCATATCTTGTCTTGTGTGTGTTTGGGTTAGTGTAGTAGCTGATTAGAAGGAGACTCTCCTACTCGGAGCCAGCTGTTTTGGAATATAGAGACGTTATATTGGTGATTTCAAGCTTACAAGCTTATCCAAATTCCCCGGTGAAGGTTCTGTCTATAGAACCTTACAACCGGCTGTGTGAGGGTTACATAGTTGCAGGAGGTTTTGAAATGATGGTCTTTCAACAATCAAAAACGGGAGATCACTATCGGCTATAAAATAACACACGTGCGTCTTGAGGGTAGCGAGGTTGAGTTTGTTCTATCAGAATGTATTGTCAATTTGTGTGAGCTATCAAATTTTGATAATGAAATCATTAAAAACATAAAAGGACTCACCGTATGACCCGTTTTGTTCTTGTTTAAAGCTCCAGTGATGGTCCCTTGATCAAGTAAATTGCCATCGCACACACAATGTTTGATTTCAAGGTGGTTCTTCATGGACAATGTACTACCTCTAGGATCACGAGTCAAATCCTTCCCACATTCTTTTCCATTGGCCATTACAAATATACACTTGTTTTTTGTGAATTGGTTAGCTTGACAAAATCTTCCAAACCCAGCTGATACGAGTGGTGGGAGTTGAAGAAATATCACCAAGATCGGAGTTTTTGGCTTGGGAGGCGGTGTCAGTGGAAATATCAGGGGCTGAAGACATATTGATTGAGCAATTTGAGTTTAATTCAACAATGATTGAGCGGTGATGATCCAGATTCCAAAGTTCAATATTGTATTATTGATTCAACAACAATGATGTATGTACAGTCAGTGACAAAAAGTTTACGTACCTTGACTACATATGTAATAGTGCAGTGAGGTCTATGAGTGTTTTTGTCCTCAAGCATCTTCTCGATACCAACCCCAAACCTCTTAGAAAATGAAGACCTGCACCCTTTCTTCCACCCGAAAGACTTCCATCGTTTACATGCACCAAATTGGCATTCCTGGCACTCAAATTGCTAAAAAAAACTGGGCCATTCCAAGTCTACTGTCTACACAGTCATCTACAATGACCGTAAAAAACGTGTATCAACGACCTCAAAAACCCTCGGAAGACCGAAGAAATTCTCAGAACGTGATCAGCGAACTTTGAAGCAAATTTTTAAAAAAAACCAACACACTTCAGCTGCCTGGATCGCTAGCAAACTACCAATTAAAGCAAGTCTTCAAACAATCCAATCAGAAATTCAAAGACTTGGATTTAACTCTCGAGTGGCAGTAGTCAAGCCTTATCTCAAGAGCCAACACATTCTAAGGTGTCTTCAGTTTGCTAAACAGTACAAAAATTGGACTTACAATGATTGGAAGAAGGTCATATGGACCAATGAGTCGTCTTTTGAAATAGGAAAGCCTTCAAAGAAGGTTTGGGTGTGGTGTAAGCCCGGTGAAAAATACAACCAAGATTGTTTAGCACCAAGTTTCAAGAGTGGACAAACTTTGGTAATGATCTGGGGCGCATTCACAGCCGAAATTCGCTTGCCAATGATCATAATGCCCCCAGGACGTCGATCTGGACCCAATTTTGTCAATTTGATCTATCGACGCATCATCGAACCATTTATCAGCTCACCTAATTGTCCACATGATCTTATCTTGATGGAGGATGGAACCCCAGTACACACAAGTAAAGTGGCAAAAGAATGGAGAGATCAACATTCAATTACAAAGTTAAATTGGCCAGCAAACAGTCCAGACTTGAACCTGATTGAGAACCTCTGGAAAATAATAGAAAAAAATGTTTCTGAAAAACGTCACCCTCACACACCTCAAGAAATGTGTGAAGCCCTGTTTACCAAGTGGAAAGCAATCCCTCACAGCAAGCTTCAAGCTTTAGTTGAATCCATGCCTTATTGGATCAAGGCTGTGATCAAGGCAAAGGGTAGACACACTTGCTGGTAAAAATCATTGTATTCTAGAGTCTACATTACAATTACACATCCTGAAATTTGATCATAGATACTCTGACGAGTGGCCATCTAGACTGTGTGCTTTAAGGTATAGAAGTACATGAGATGTTGAGTACAATATGCTTCTTGAGAGTTGCCAAATCGGTCAGTTATAGTACAGGTACGTAAACTTTTTGTCACCGACTGTACAGAGTGAGGAGTCCAGATGATATTTTGTTAGGGCAAAATTCAATTTTTTTGACCCGGACCGGTCAAAAAAGCCCTTGGTCTGGGTTCAATTCCTGGCAATGGCAATTCTTTTGGCCTGATCGCCGGATATCCGTCGGATACTTTGTCCGGTTATCGGATCTGACAATTCTGGCGGATAAGAGCTGGTCTTTTTTCTAAAGTATCCGCCAGTTTGGTTGGCAAAGTGGGCTTATCCCACCAGATAGTTGCCAGGTGGCACCTTGACTCTATACCTCTCTCTCCCCAACACTACCTCAATCTGACTCCTTGAGGATCTTTGACTGATCACTTGTCATTGTCTCTTTGGAGTCAGTCAGTCTGTAATTAAAACATGTACTTTGGTTCTAGAAAGCTTTCCACCACTTGTGTGGTGTAGACCTTCCAACTCACACCTTATAAAGGTATATAATAAATTCCTAAACCTTCCTTCCTTCCTCTCCTTCAGTGAGGACACTCAAAGTCCTTACAGTTACTTCCTTCATGGATATATCTTGCATTGCGTCCCTTGAGCAAGTGGCAAATATCCTGGGTTCTGAAAACTGTTGTGCACATTGGGGTGAATCTCTTATATACAGCTATGAAGAAGAATATGTGTGACAAGGGAGTATAGTAAATTGACCCTTGACAACCCATTACAACAAATAATTCATCTCCTGCCATCTGCTTCCAACAGATATTTGATCACAGAGGTAGCAAAAACCTTGAAGTTGTTTTACATGCACTTTCACACCACACATGTTGTGGTAGAAAAATCAAGTCATCTCTTAACAATCTGAGAGCCACAGTTGCAAGTTTTGGGTATAGGGTTGTTTGATTGACACCAAGTCTGACACTCCATCTCAGAACAACTCATATCTACGTCAACATTAACCAATGCTTCATCAGCTGATATGATTCCTTTTTCGCTCTTGGAATTCTTGATCATGGCACCAAAAGATTGATTGACTGATACAAAGATCACAAAGATGGTGGCAATGATGCTGAGATTCATGATGAGATTTCTAATTGGTTGAGCAAGGCTTAGTAATGTAATATTGTGGCAAAGTTTAGGTTAATTATCTCAAAACTCACCAGAATGCTAGAGCAACAGGGTTTGAGAAATTGTGTGTGCGGGCAAAAACGGATAGTGTATAAACCTCTCAAAAGGGCAAAGAAAGGGACCATAAAGTATGAGCTCAGTCTGTTTATAAACAATATCTCCAAAATTGGCTGAAAAAAATTGGTGAGAAACATACCCAGACAAGTGTGCAGGTTAGACAAATCACTCGATGAGATGATTGGATTGGATGGCAAATCATCATCAAAGTAGGCCACTTTTATATCCGTTGATGACCGCCTGGGTCGATGTCTGTCCGACTCTTCCCGGTCATCAGGTTCTGGAACATGATGCTGCGTATGATAGCATCGCCTTATGCAGATTCAGATCGCGATTGCTTTCAGCTGTGGACATCGTCGTGTTTTGGAAGGTGGAGAAGCTAGTTGTGGCCATATATGTTGATTTTCCTTTGAATTTTTGGTCTGCGCTTTCAGCACGTAAAACGGCTATTGTCGACCATGTTTTGCATCGCGGAGAAGCTGAGTGGAAACCCGAGCGTGATGATGATCTAAAGAATGACAATCGAGCGAGTCAGTTTAATTTTTGTAACAAGCATCAACATGTATGTAATACAACATCAGGCTGGATAACACGATTTGCTGAGATGTGAGAGAAATGAGGTGGAGCCAACACGCGGAGCCGAATGATATATAAGCGAGTGGTTGATATACGGGGATGGGTATCACGCAGCCCCTTATTGGAAACACAGAGTGGTGTATGAAGCATTTCTTTTGATCTTTCCCGCTCCGCTCAAATTGCGTAAGTCTTTTGGTGTCTGAGGTTTCTATTGGTTGACATTAACAGTGTGAGTGTCAGTGAAGACAGAAGGAAGCCAGAGGAAGCCCTCACCGCCGCTACAGAAACCAAATGGTCACATAAGTGTATTGATCCATGGTAAATATCAGGTCTTGAATGCGATGGAGAAAACGCCAATGGCAGGTTTTGAACACGATCGAGAACATAAATAGCAACAGATCAGTGATCATAAACCTGGAACATTTATCTCAATCGATTGACCTTCTCAATAGGATATCTAAACTTTCCTCAAATGCTGCTTCAACGAATCCTAGACTTGTATCCATCATCATCTTAAACCCGACCTTCTACATGTAAGTCTCATTCAAAAGAATCAAAAACAAAACACTTCTAAAAGATCAATGAATATCGCTGGTTGTGGAGATCAGATCACCTGATTCAAATTCATCAGGTTTAACTCAAGTAATTGGCTTAATCCCCATACCTCGCCCATCTTGATTCATTTAGAAGATTTTGATCGATCTCAAGACAATTTAATTCATTGAGAAACTCTAATCTTTACGTTCTTAATGACTTTTCTGGTTCAATTTGGATTGTTGATCGTCACAGTTTCACAAAAAGCTAACCTATTTCCTCATGTTTCTGAATCTACAGAAGGGGAAAAGTCTACGTTAAAACCAACACAGGATCCAGATCAGCAAGTGATAAAACATGAGGTTTAATCAGTTGATGATCAGGAGTAAGTAGATTCATTGGGTAAATATCATTTGACAAAAAGCCTTCAGTAAAGTATTCAATCTGTTTGGATTTCAAATCACATCCTGTGTCAACTTGATTGTTGTATCATCAACTGAATTTTCAACTCTTGTTCCAAGATACTTATATGCTATGTACCTCTTCAGTGAACTCTAACTACATTTGTTACTTGTCAAGTTCACTCAAAGTCTGGAGTATAGGACCTCAAGATAAGATCTGAACCCTTGAAATTTTCCATGCAAGCTCAAAATGGTATAAGCTGGACCTGTAATTCATACATCTTTTGTACTCAAAGGTAATTTCATTTTTTTCACTAGATTACCAGTCTGTTTCTTGAGAGACCTTCAACTTAACTATGGACATAGTTAAGATGTATTGACATGATTTTTGATCTGTATGTCATTTAGTACTACTTATACCACTTCACTCTGTACCATTCCTCAACACAACAACAATCTCAATGATTGAACTAAAAATTTCAATCTTCATAACATAAAGAGAAAGAGAATTAAGATTCATAGGATTCTTTAGTTGTTTATCAAAAATGACACCTTTAATTAGTAGAATCATTTCATTGTCAGATTGAATTATAATTGCAATGTATGCTGATGATTTATAAAAACATCAAGAGTTGTTGAAGAATGAGGTTTTGGAACCTACAGGGTTTTATCAAGGCTGTACAGCTCCAGTTGGGTTAGATTCACACAAGGATGCTATTGGCATTTTTCCAAAGAAAAAAACAGCAAGAAAAAATTCAAAAGAATCATCTGAGAAGACATTGTGTTGATTTGGTTTGGCTGTTTGTTGAATGCTTGGGTGTGAATGTTTTGGGGTGATTTTCACAATAAAAATTGTTCACTGTTTTGATTTTCTTGAATATTTGTTTGTATCATATAATTATCTGCCTTGTTGTTCTTCTTGATATTGCACCCAATCCCCAAGCAAGTTGATGGTGAGATTTTTACTATATTTATTGAAATTGACTAATTGAAATCTATTAATGATGACCTGAGGCTGAATCATATCTTTTAGCTAATAAGGGTACAAAAACCTCCAAAACCCATATGATAAACCCAATATGAAAAACCTGTTCCAACCCATTTGATTTTTGGGTTTTTGCAGGAAAATTGTAAAATTCAAACTGGTTTGGACTGGTTTTTCATATGGGTTTTTGATGTTTGTGTACCCTTAATTAAAAGGTTTACAATGCATGAGAATTGAATCACATGAATCTCCATGCAGTAAAAATTGTCATTTTAAAACAAAGTAGTGAAAAAACAATAGCTCAACTTCACTCAAGCCTCAACCACCTGACATTGGTATCCAATGTTGCGCAAACGTTATTGTGCAGCCTATGCACTTGATGAGGGGTGTAAGGATCAAATTTCAATTATGGTTACTACAAGGGACATATTTTTTGAAATACTGTTAGTATTGAAAACTTGTACCCTCCAGAGAAAGTTTTAAAGCTGAGGACCTTTTGAGCACAAGGATAATGATATCCTTGCGTACCGGAAGGGACAGGTGAAGGCTTATCCTGCCCTGTCTGCAATGGCCATGCTTGCCATTCCAGAAACCAGCTACCCTTCTGAGCATGTCTTTTCCAAAGGCTGTGCTGTCCTTCAATATGCAAGATTGTTACTCAACCCTGATATTACTGTTGAGTGACTTCTGGGTTAGAAAATGGCACTGTGCCTTTGGTCTGGCCTATTTTGATGGATTGAATGAGTACATGGATAAATATTACAAATCATACATGTATTTGTATTACACACAATTTATGAAATTCAAACTATGTATTTGAAGTGCCCAGCACTGCTCAGCACTTTGCCTTGTCAACAAGCGTTGACTCTCTGCGCTACCCCTCCCCTGACTTCTTCATGTGCACCAAACTGCGGGGGCTGCGGGGAATTGGCTCTGCTCCCGGCTCCCGCCCCCGTAATCCCCCGCGGGAATTTTCGTCCCAAAAACCATCCCGGATCCTGCCCTTGCAAGGGCGAGAGCCGGGGGCGGGGCGAACCCCTAAACATAATCAAAAATTAAAGAAATGAGAGAGAAAAGAAAAAAAGAAAAAAAGAGAACTGATTTCAGTAATTCATGATTGTCTGGATTTCTTTTTATTTGCCTCTTCTGTGTATGTTCTTAAATTTTTATATCTTCCATTTTCTAAACAATATTTTGCTAATAATGTGAATCCTTGAGGTGTATCTAAGATTGTCTCTGTTGATGTTGTGTCAATTTTCAGTCTTTGTTGGTTTGATTTGTCTGTCTACAGACTTCACATTTATCTGAGTTTTCTTTATTTATCCTAAAGAAGTGAATTGACAATGACCACTTCTGAGTTGAAGGTATCAGGCCAAATGTGATGATAAGTTGCAAGCCCCCCCTCCGCAGACTCCGGGGGATGTTTCTGCGGTTGGTGGGGCTTGTGTTAAGCTAGGCAATCAAATGATTTAGGTTTTAAAGGCGATTTCATTCAATCAAGAGAAAAAAGAAAACCAGCCTCCGTGTCTCCTAGTTGTTTCCCCGCCTTGATGATAAATTGCACTTTCCCTACTTACCAAGTTTGATATGCGAGTATGTAAAAAATAAGGCCAATGTGCAGGCGAGGCACCACGTCGATCAAATTCTGACTCGGGACATCTAAAGTTCGTCTTCCAAAGTTCATTATGTACATGGCAACTCAGGTTTCCACAGATTTGCATGGGCCACTGATATCTGTATAGAACACAGAAAAATTATGTACGGAAGGTCAAACAGTCTGACACCGTCGGCGCGGAGTTCATGTTGGAACGGAGAAAATCATGCAGACTTGAGTTCATGAAGGTTCATGATTGCCAATTTTAAGTTTGTTCAAACCAATTCAAACAATACAATCAAAAATCTCTATTTTTTTGGACAACTTTATGGCAGCAAAAAAAATAGGGTGGCGCAGCAAGTAACCCAACCGTCTGTTGGTCATCTGTTCAAATATTTCTCCAACTCGCCAGCCAAAAGCCTCTGGTAGACCAATGAGGTTAGCCTGAGATGCCTGTCACAGATGGCACTGCCCCAAAACTTGGCTGCCTATGAAAAAATTGTGTTGGTTGAGGCAGCTGGACACGGGATAAACCTGTGATATCTCAGGAGCTCTAGCTCAAACCACTTTGGGTGACTTTGATGGTCTTCGTGTGGTGGAATCCTATGTCGGCCAAAGCTGATCAAATCGTCGCCCAAGCCCTACTGATAGCATTTGAGGAATTTCAGCGGGATCTGATAAAGCCTATCTACTTTCCTCTATCCCAAAGCAGAAATAAATGTGTAAACTCAAAACAACCCAACTTCTTGAGACTACAAGAAGATAACCTTTTTGGCAACTTGTTGGATATTCCTGCTTGGAGGCTCAGTTCAAATACACAGACCTGATGGAATCTGTATAGGACTGTTAATGAGGCCCTTATGTGCACTACAAATTTTACATGCTTCACCACCTAAGTCAACAGACCATGACGTGTGAAATTCCACATTGTAGTCAAGCTCACAAGAGACTTAGACCTGCTTACTGGTGTTGAGCACACAAGGCCCTTGGTGGCAGAGTTTTGTATCAACGGAGCATTTTTTGTTTGATTATCAAATTAATCACAATGAAGGTATGTTCAAGTTGGCCAACTGGTACATTCACTGACACTAAACTGGTCTTTTGGAATATCCAGTTTTCATCTCAGTCCAAATCCACTCCAAATCTCAAGATACAAACCTTTGAGATGTCAATAGGGAGTGAAGAAGTCCAGTGTAGATTGGATTTCAATTCTGGAGGTCACACTTGAACTTTCCTGATAGGCTATAAATGAATATTTCAAAAGAAGAAAAAGAAGACAAGGAAGGGTATCAAATATTTACAACAGTACCTTGTAGAAAATTGGTCCAAAATGTTATGAGTTCAGGAAATATGGCAATCACAATATACACATGACACATTTTAGCAGGAAATCTTTCACTAGACCCATTTGTGTATGTACTATGTATGTCCCCTACCCAGATTGCAATCTAACTAGAAACCATAGGCACCCTTCATAACTATAACCCTAGACCCAGACTCCTGGTCTTGGCCCTGAAACCCAGCCTACAAGACAGATGTTTGGTGGGAATTTAAAGATGAAAATTTCAGAATCAGTGTTGATATGATAAATATTTACTTGATCTTATACATTCATGAATTTTCTCTATATATAGCCATAATTACAAGGAATTATAGGATAACCACACATTTAGGATGATCAACTTCAATACATATTTTGAGCCAAGTTCTGAATTGCTGCTTGCCTTGGGTTTATCTTCAATCTTTCTTGTTTTTTTTCTTTTCCTGCCAATTTCCAGTTCATTAGTCCATGATCAGATTGTAGAATCATTGTTATGGAAGTCAGGATAAACAGGGAGTTAATTTTTTGTCATGTCCTCCTCTGATCTGAATTTCTTTTGCCATGTAGATATTCTGCTACGTGGAAGCCCTAAGACTGCAGCAACTTTTTTTTGAGTGTCTCCACTTTTTTGGTAATATTCCACCACTGCTTTCTGGACCTCTTCAGGGTACTTTGTCACTTTAAGATCTGAATGGAGAGTTTTGCTTGACAGGAAGGATTCAATTCCATCAGGTGTTTCTTCTGCCTTTAACCAACTTCTAAGAGTGGTATTGTCGATATGAAACATTCTTGATGTCTCTGTGATGTTACGGCCATGTGTTTTGTGCCATTCAACCACTTCCTTCTTGAACTTTTGGCGCTCCTCAATGTAGTTACAGAAATCCATTTTTCCACCACTTCCATTGTACTGCCTCATCCAAGCAGATATAGTAGATTCAGTGATATTGTAATGTGCTGCGGCAGCTGCCTGTGTCTTAAAGTCCCCACATGACTCAACCACCATCTTCTTGAACAAAGGGGGGTACTTGGTTTGGGTATGTACTCCATTTGAAAGCCTTCCTTGATTTTGGGCCTTTCTCACAACAGAGATCAATGCAAGTAATTCCTTGGATAACTGGTCTTGTTCAGCATCTCTCATAGGTGACTGTTCTTTCTGTGAAGTTGACTCCAAGGTTGTTGGTAAAGTTTCTTGCCGTAGAACTAAATAAGCACACGGGAATGTGTAAGAATCAACCCGTCAATATGGGCTCAATGCAGCAACGCAGAACTCAAGAGCGACCTTTTGATGCAATGCGAATCCTTTCAAGCTTACCACTCGCGATTGATTTCTTGCGCCCCGTTGATCCTTCAAGAACGGCTTTGCGTTTCTTTGGTCGGCTCAGACCCTCATGTGCTCTGGACTCCGAGCGTAGTTTCTCAGGACTCTTCGTAGATGATGATAATCCCTTAGATTCAGACATTGAATCACTCTTCTCCAATTCTTCATTTGAACGATAGATCTGTGCCAGTGGACGCATCTTGATCTTACTTTCTGATGTCCTACGAGCCGCTGGTTTTCTAGGAGACCTACCCTGGGTACCACATTTTGTCCTTTTCATTGAAGGTTCTGACGTTTGGACATTTGAGGCCAAGGCGGTAGAAGCCGAGTCGTTGACCGCAAAGGCCCGCAGATCTGATTTCGGGGTGCTGTTGCTAGAATCGATGATATTTCCGTGCATGTCACCAAGTACTTCTTCTTGGCCTTCGCGCCTAGTGTCCATGTGAATGTGTTCCTCTGGGAGAATCTCTGGTGCTAAGTTCAGGTCAATCCCGGACATGCTACCGCGCATGCCTCTGACGGCCTTGATTGCGTTGTCCTTTGTAGCCAATACATGAGGTGCGATACAGAATAGAACAAGAATGAAGAGTTTTCTCCAATCGACCGTCATGATAAATCACAATGGTGTCCTGAGGTGAAATCTATTATTTCTAGGGCGATGAAGTCTGTTTGCTTGTGGGGGCCAAGTATTTATCAAATGCCAGCCTTTCACGCTCAATGCTTCCGAATTGAAAAATGTGAAGCAAGTGAGATTTTGATACACCAACGGACAAGAAATTTGTTTTGTATTCAGATATTGGCCAGCATGTGACAGGACTTGAACCATTTTGCATGCATTGCAGCTGCGCAGAGTTGACTGAGAAGCCTAAATATAGCTCTCCAAAGAAAAGTTTGTGCACAAGTTTTAAACCAACCATCTCTGGCGTGTCTCGGTGCCATTATTACAAACTGAGCATTCAATCCTATTCGACCTCTCAACTTTGAGGCGCAGACCTAGCATGTTCGTTCTTCCATGATGTATATGACGGCTCGTGATGCATTTGTGATTGTTGTCTATTTCCTGGAACAAACAATGTGAGTTGGAAATAGTAGTGTGATAAAGTTGAAGAAAAGCTGGCATGCGATGAGGGCCCCGGGGTGAAGTAAGCTGTGGGGATGAAGTGTTGTATTTCAAGTGATATGTGGTTTTGGATTATGTACATAATAACTTGCTGTGGCAGCCTCAGCCTGGCTCGCGATGATTCATCGATGACCAAGCCGTTCAGCTATCAGTGACCGAAGCGCAAAACTCTCAACGTCTATGAATCCCTTAAATATCCCTGGTATGAGGACTCTTCTTCGCTTCAGTTGGACCCTCATCAAAGCCGGCACAACCATGGCTGCCCTCATCGCCCTCCTGTTGTTGGTTTGAAGATGCTGAAGTTTATACGATTCTTCTCTAGTATACTTACTGACGTTGGTTTCGAAGATACACTTTTCAGAATAAGATGATTTATCCGAGTTCGATGCCACCTGGATCTCGAGAAGTGGTTCCGGATCCCGATCAATTTGGAATGAAAGATTGGGAAAAGATCGAATTGGTTTCAGCAGATCAAGTCAAGACTAAAACATTTGTGATCTTAGCAGCCAAAAAAGGTTCGATATCAGAAGAGGGGAAGCTTTTGAATGACTGGAGACGAAGTCGACCTACTGTTTTCATGCTTCATGCTAATGCCGGCAATGTGGTAAGGGTTCAAAGTGTGTTATTCTTTCGTTTCAAAACAAAGACTGATTTGATCGATCTATTTCCTCGATCGCAGGGTCACCGCTTACCGATAGCCAAAGTGTTTGTTCAAAAGTACCACTTTAATGTGGTGGCCATCTCATACCGAGGCTATGGCCATTCATCGGGTACACCTTCCGAAAAAGGGATCCTTTTGGACTGTCAAACTGCTTTTGATTACATCAAGTCTCACCCTATCTTAGGAAACACCCCACTCTTTCTTTACGGTCAAAGTCTAGGAGGAGCAGTAGCTGTCGCATTGGCATCTGAATCTGTTAATCATGGAAAGGTGTCAGGGGTCATTTTGGAGAACACATTCGCAAACATGGTACATTCTCGTCTCAGAGTTTCCTCAGACATCCATCAGTCTTGAGCACATACACTGACAGTTTACTTGTAATTTACCTTTGGTTTTCTACTCACCCCCTTTTTAGCGCAAACTGATCCCATCAGTGATGCCTTTCATAGCTCCATTTTCGTTTCTATGTCATCAAACATGGGCTTCAGATACACGAATCCTCAATCTTAAATCAGCTAAAAATTCGACTCCATTCTTATTCCTATCTGGGTCAATGGATGAACTCGTACCACCTGATCATTTCCGTGCTCTTTATGATGCTTGTCCATCAAGTCTTAAGATTTGGAAAGAATTCCGTAAAGGAACACATAGTTCGTATTGCATCAAATTATCTCTAATGAAGCTCATTGAATGATAAAGATGGTTGATTATTCTTGTTTTCAACGCTCAATTTGAAATATGTATTGTTCACTTTTCGATAACAGATGATACATGCTTACAGGAGTCTTATTTCCCAATCATTGGGGAATGGGTTGAAAGCCATCAATCGCCGAAATCCACAATTCATGAAAAATGATGGTACTGTTGGTCGACCGAAACAGATCAGTAAAGAAGTCGAAAGGTTCAAATGAGAATGAGATACGGAGAACTAGATACAAATGGCTTCGACTTGCCGATCAACATTTTACTCACAATCATCGTACTCTTGTAAGTTCGACGCCATCTTCACTTTCCAAAATTCCTCTTTTGTGGACCTCAAGATTCGATGGACGCTGTTCGACTCAGCCTTTCAGAATTTTGTACACGCTAGATCCAATAAGTTTATACTGCTTTGTTGTAATTATATGTTCTGAGTCATTATAATTAGCATCCCTCACATGTCATCTAGCAACCAAGAGGAAGGGGAATTCCTATGACAAGCATTCGATAGATCCTCAGTTTTGATGGCTGCCGTGTAACGGGTCTCAGTTGGCCACACTTTTCCAATGATACTCTCATCCATGGAGTCAAACGGCTTATGTATATCCACAGGGAAGCTACAGGTAAGTTCCATTGAGCTTCTGAGACGAATGATTGACGCCAAGTAAGGCGCTGCTTGGCATCATCCACCATCATCGCCCAAAAACGACTTTGGAAGACTTTTGTGGGTTGTTTCCATCGAGTGATGGCCGATTTTAGGCTAAATTGGGTTACATATGCACATACCTCAGGATCAAGCCCCAAGCTGATGATTTGGCGCTTCTATTTCATCTACAGTTGACGCTACCACTTGATCTTTAGCTCACAACGGGCGGCTCTGCCGTACGGGCCGGCACCCCGTATGGAAAGCAACCGGAAGACGGAGTGTTGGTAACGGAAGTCTGCTGAAGTACAGAATTGAAAGTATGATTGGGTGATAGCTATGAGCCTGTGTAGGAACACGTCAACCATGTCTCCAAAGTCTTCCGAGTTTTTCAAGCCTGTTGAACTGGTCAGCAACCTGTTGTCATCCTATCAATTCTGAGCCACAGCCGGTCGATCACGACTTCCAAAGGCGGAACACCCGAATTGGAATATTTAAATGGAGACAGAGCCTTTGTCCCGTTTGACCTCAATTGGCACTCTGTGTTTGCCATTTGCAATCAACAATTGTTTTTCGAGCATCTGCATCTCCTTTCATTTCTTTGTCAATTGTGAATTTTATCGTTGCATCCGTGATGCATTCCTTATTTCTTACCGCTTGGTCGGTGGTTATGATCAGCCTTTTAGTTTCATCTCCTAACATTCTTGCTGCGCCAGCTAAACATGAACATCATGGCCCGCCTACAGCATCAAATCTTACTCCAACAAATGCCAATAACAATCCTAATCCTAATCCCAATCTGAATCCAAATCCAAATCCAAATCTGATTCCGAATCCGAATCCAAACCCAAATCTGAATCCAAATCCTAACGATAAAACTGGACAGCTGGTTTACAAGGATTTTCAGGTAAAGTAAAGCTTTCCTTTGGTATATCTCTTCGCGTCTGTTGAGATCTGACTTTTGAGATGATCACATAGATTTCGGATGGCAAAGCTGGAGATGCATTTGATAGGGCTAAAAAAGCAATAACCACTTCGGTTGGAGATAAAGTCTTCGATGACCTCAAAGGTATCACCTCAGAAGAGGAACAAAAGATCAGTACCATTCGTGTGACGGCTCAAAAAGCTGAGGCTACATTCGTTGCAAAAATCCAAGTTGAGTTTGGTTTCTTTGCAAGTGGCTTTTTTCTGAATCTCTTTTCTAATACTCGAATATTCAAACTTCTTCACCTTAGCAATCAGGTCGTGAATCGCCCGAGGGTTTGGAATACTTTCGTGGAATGGTAAGAACTTTTGATCGTTGGACTTGGAGGAAAAGAAGTTTTGACTGATGGTTTGTTTGATCTTACTTCATAGATCAGTAACAAGGTTCTCAAATTGACTGCGCTTTTACTCATCATGGAGGTAAGTACCTCAGCATTGAAACATCTTAAAGATACAAGTCTGATTGGATGGTGCCTATTTTTTATTCCAATAGAGCGATATTGAGAAGAATGGGTCAACTCATGTTTCTTCTGATACACCAGATGAAGTGAAAAAACTGTAAGTTCGAATTTTTTGCTTTATTTTTTTCTTACATAAGCTTGAAGTAGGCAATTGAACACTCTTGAATTGTATTTTCAACGTGATCCAGATTGAATAAGAACATCTCACTCGATAAGGCAGCCGCTGGTCAAACTCAAAAAGGAGTTGATGGTTGAGACTCTAGAAATCCATCTTTGTATACTTTTGATGTCTATTGCGTTTGTTGATTAGGTGTAAGAGGAATTTGGGTTACTGAATACTTTTTGTAAAAGTTGTATTATCTTGATGGATAACTAGAAAGTTGAAGGAAAATATGGACAATTTCTCTAGTAGAAATTCTTGAGATGAAAATTCTGAAACATTTATATCTATGTGGTTAGAATTAAAAATGTAGATCATTGAGTCTAGCCAAAGAAACAAATCACATTTACTTGAGTTTCATTTCAACGTTTGAATTAGATTCTTTTCTGGTGGGGTATGGAATGGACTGCAGAGGGTCATGCAGTGGATATGGCTGCAACTATGTCAAATACTCACTTCTATACCCACTGAGCAATGCCCATAGCTCTATAGAATAGGGAAGAAGGTGCTGGTCAAGAATAATTGAGACTGGAACCTGAAAGCATTTGAATCAGTCTGAAAAGGTGCAATGGCAAATGTAACATCATGGGATTTTGTCATCTTTCACATCACAATTCAGCTGTGAGAAGAGAAAATTAGGATGAAGACAAGCTGAGGCCCAGGTGTCCAGTGATTAATAACAATGCGGAAAAATCACTGAACACATCTGACAATAAGATAAGAAGCAGAAGAAAACAGACTTGTCTTCCCCAAGGATCAAGATGAGGAACGGGAAGTACATTCTAGACATGTCTGCATATATAACCACTCCCGCCCATCAGTCGATTTACCGGGGTTCCCTTCCGCTGGGCCAATAGGGTGTGATTGGCTCTTCTTTCAGTCATCACAAACTGAAATTTCTTTTATTGTAGGGATACGGCTTACCTTGAAGTGAACCATATGGTTCTCCTCTCAACACCACCGGCGCCCCGCCCAAGATAGTGGCAGCGGAGCGCCCGCGGTGCAACTTTTACAGCGGTATTATCCGGCTGGCACCATAGCGGGTTTTGAGCCCTGCTACCGCTTGCTTCAGTACCCAAAAAAATGTAGCGGTTTTTCTATCCGCCCACTATAGCACATTGGCGCTGTGCTATGACTACATATAGCGCTCAATAGCGCATGGTCAGATCATAGCGTGTGGGCGGTTCATAGCGCCCCGGGGCGCTCATATAGCGCCTTGTATCTGGAACTTCTCCACCTAACCCTTTCAACCACCATCTATGTACTCAACACACCAATCAACGATCTCCTCCGAGTCCAATCATTCATCTAATCAACGATCTCATCCAATCATTCATCTACTCAACACACCGGTAATGTACCCGAGCAGTATTCACCTTCCATCCATCACCACCACCTAATCTTGCTACCAGATCACTTTGACGCCTCTCAGTCTGAGTACCATCCGATTCCGTGGACAATGTTGCTGTTTCCTGGTTGGTCGGAGCCATATAAAATGGCTTCAGGTAAGTTTTTCGAATTGACTAAGGCTATAGAACTCGCCTGTCTTTCTTTACTGAAACCTATCTTCATATTTAGACCAATTCCTTTCAATTCGATCTATAATCTCGACTTCATATTTAGACCAATTCCTTTCAATTCGATCTATAATCTCGATATATTTTCAACTTCAAATCATGTCTTCGAACTCACTCTTCCCGCCTAGTGCATCCTCTATTCGTAACCTTAGAACCCGTAGTCCTGTACGAGCTCGTCCTCTATTCGTAACCTTAGAACCCGTAGTCCTGTACGAGCTCGACCTGGGTTTGTTATCCATTCACCAGACTCCCGGCTGGCCCTCCGAGCACCCAGCGAGGACGAAGTCAGTGATTCACCTGATCATGAAGAGAACATCTCTTCGGCACCACCATCACCAACTCAAGCTGGTCCCTTGCAAGTCAAGAAGAAATTCTTGAAAGGGGCTGGGCATCCTTCACGCCGCGGCCAGGGCAAACGCAAAAGTACTGCGTCACGTAACTCGTCAGCCTCATCTCCACTCTGCTCCCCAAAGCTTGTGAAGAGGAGAAAGGCTGCCAACTCTGTCCTTCAGGTATGTATACTTTTATCTACTTCATACCTTTTTCTAAATGTTTTGACATATTGATTTTTTCTGATTGTTTTGATGTTTTTTGATTGATTTTCTGTTTGTATATAATAGGACTATGAAGTACCGGCCGGTCTTGATGTCAATCAAGATTCCGACGTGCAGTTTGAGCTTGAGCCTGGCGTAGTTTGTGCAGCCGGAGCTAGACGAGGTCACCTTGCCCGAGTTGCTAAGCTCCTTGAATACTTTGAGAAGCCGATCCATGTGACAGGAGAGGTATGTAATGACTTTCATCTTCAATCATCACATCTCTCCCATTCCTGTTGAGAGATTCCTAACGTTTTCAACAGGTTGGAGATGACCCTCGTAGGTATTGGTGTCGATGGTGTGGCGAGTATTACACTCGAGGCAAGCACAGCCACTACAACCTATACACTCATCGAGATGGTGGTAAGGATCGACCACCTTGCCGGAGACGAAATCTCGCCATCCAAAGTGGTCATGACCTGCCTCCAACATGGAGGGAGCAGCAATTGGATATCGTTCAAGTAGGAAACAACAATTCCAACCACACACTCGACTCGTTTTTATCAAAAAGCTCATTCAGTGTTGAGCTTTTCAACACTGTCTTGGTGTTGTGGATTCTACGTCATGCATTACCTTTCTCACGATTCCATGACCCGGCCCTCCGAGCTGCCTTCAAGTTATCAAATCGATCAGCTAATCTTAGAGGAACCACTTGGGCGTCAGAGACAGCCAAAAGTATATACAAAGATCTTTCTTCAACTGTAATCAAACAACTTCAAGTAAGTGTCCACTTCTATCAACATCTTTCTCAAATCCCAGCATACTGATGTGATCCTGGTGTGATTTAAAGTCAAACAGAAGCAAGTTCTGTCTTATATATGATGTCTGGACGACCAAAGGTCGACGCAAGGCATTCATGGGAGTTTCTGCTACTTACATCGACGATGAGTGGATGTTCCAATCCAATCATCTCACTCTTAAATTGATTACCTGGCACCATTTTGGGCGTCTTCTCGCACAGCCAGTTGGTCGATTTTTAATCAGTCACGGGCTACATAAAAAAATAAGTATTTTCACCTTTTTTTGGTCTTATTTAATTTGATATCTTGATTTCCTCATAACTTGTCCTTCATTTAATATACAAGTGCTGACATGTATTGTTCCTTTTTTACATGCTTGCTCAGACAACAGATTCAGGTAGTAACAATAAGACCATGGCAACTGAGCTTTCGTCTATGTTTCAACACGCCGCAACTCCCGTTGATTGGGACTCGGACGGCCATCAGGTAAGATGCTACACACACAAGATTGGTCTTGTGGTTAAAGCGGGTCTCAAAGCTCTCGGTCTGAGTGCTGGACATGTCAAGCCAACCACTGAGCCTGGAGTCACCTTGCCAACACCGACTTTCACTCTCAACAAGGGTGACGACAATATCAACTTTGGCTCTTCTGGCGATGATGAAGACTTGAACAACTCTGACTCTGACGCATCAGACAGAATTTCAGAAGCTGGTCTAGATGATGGAAATGGTGATGAAACCGATGGAAGCATAGCTCGTGCAGTTGCTAAGGTAAGACCCTTTTCCCAGCTCTTTCACACCTTTGGAACAATCACTCATTTGACTCTGAGCTTACAATATAGGCCAAGAAATTCAATGGCTTGTGTACTAGAAGCTCAGCCAGGCGTCACGAATTTGTGGCCAAAGCTGAGCAAATGGCACCTGTAGCTACTAGCCTTCTGGACTAGTATTCGAAGAAAAATAAGACTTTATGGTCGGATAAAAGCCGATACTCTCAACAAGAAAATGCCGACGCGTCCGACAAGTCGGGCGCCCAAATTTTACATGTCTTTTTCTTCAAATTCTTCCTCCCAACGTGTCCGACACCACCAAAACTTCACAAATTCACTAAGTCCAACACGCAGCACCACTTCACAACTTCACATCTCACAAGAACCCAAGACCACAAGTTCACGGCCTTAACTTAACTAAATCCCACAGTCAGATACTTCACAAAGACTCACAAGAGCAACACTCACGATTCACCTCCTCAACACACAACTTCACCAGTTCACACTCACAAAGAACCATTCACAACTCGTCAATACACCTCAAGATCCTCTCAATCACATTCTTATTGACATGTCCTACATTCCGATCGATAAGGAAGGCAATCCATTCCTTCAAATACCTCCGGATGGGACTATCCTCAAAGATCTCGAAGCCTTGTATGCGTATCTTGATCCTCTCACCGTCGACCATGGATACAAGTTATCGGTTCTAGACTCTCGTTACCCCACCATGGACGCCTACATCGAGTTCAAGTGTTACAAAGGCCCTACTCGCCATGCAAGATCTCCTGGAGACTGCCCATTCTATGCTCGGGCAGATAGAAAGAAACCAAACGACTCCTGGATACTCACAATACCAAACCCACATCATAATCACCCACCATCGACAAAAAAACTCCCTTATCATCGTCCAAAGAAACCTAGAGCCCTGAAATCTACGACACTCGAGCCTATACCAACACTCCATCCACCTGAAAAAACCAAACCTCTCGTTCTTTCCAAACGATACACTAATATCATCAGCCGCATGAAGAGACTTGAAGATGAAACACAAAAATCCCTCCTTGATCTTCTCGAAAAAGAATTGGACATCGCTGAGATGGATCAAGTCATGAACGACCACTTAAACAAAGAAGCCCAAGATATCATAGAACTCGAAGCAAGCCTGAAAGATTTAAAAAAAGGAAATTCCAAAATCAAACTTCAAGCTACGAATCCTACCTTCAAGGAGACTCAAGATACCCTGAACCTCCCAGATGCGACTCATCTCAACCAACACCCATCCAAATCCTCTGTTGTTTCACCAGATCAGGCCCCCACTGATGCAGTGATGCCCTCAAAGGTAGGAACCGTTTCAAAGGTAGGCATCATTGCTTGATCATCTATCGACTTCATGCAAAAATAGCAAGAATAACAAGACTTACTCATATCATGATTATGATCGCATCCAGTCGCATATCAAGTCACCCTCACCAGGCAGCACACATGCTCCCCCAAAACCACCTCATATTGTCCTCAACACCCGTGCTCCTGACCCACCAATGTCAACACCTCCTCCATTTACTTACGAAGAGGAAGATGATGACAAAGGAGAAGATACTTTCAAGACCCCCAACGAACACTTTCCGACCATTCCTTCTATACATGGAAGCCTGCAACATCCACTCTCATCAATTGTCGAGCAACATCGTGGAAAACAACCATCGCCAAATGGTCATGTGAACATTCTACCAATCGATGATGTGGTTCAAAATTTTATACCAGTCAATCAACCTCAACAAAATCAGCCAAGCGAAGAAGACAAGCACTTACCTGACACTACCTCCAAGAAGCGCAACAAACGCCGAACAGCAAAAGGACGGCAAAAGAAAGCCAAAGAACCACAAAACACAGCCGAAGAACAACAACACACACACACGCCCACCCCTCTGAAGAACACGGATGCCAATAAAGTCACTACTGACCATTTCCTTCAGGACGAGGACAAAATGAAACAGCAACTCCCGCTTGCCTCGCCTTCACCTTCCAAGAAACGAACCCAACAAGAGCAAGAGTCCATTCAAGCCAACGTACCCCCAGCCAAGAAGAGCAAGAAACGAACAGCTTTACCTGTTGCCACGCGATCCTCAGCTCGAATCAAAGGTATCAATCCTGAAGACCCATCCATGAAAACTTCAGCTAATCAAACCGCTGTCAATGAACCACAAAAAAAAAACATCGAATCAAACCCTCATGAAGATTAAACTTAAACTACAACCCGATGCCCAAAATATTCCACCTGTCAGTCTCACTTCATACGCTGCTAGCTCTCCAATCCAATTGTTTGACGATGCTGAGAGTTCCCTCCTTGACCTTTACCTCCAGCCCGAAACCAAAGCAAATGAAAACAAATCGGCTCTAAACGATTCATCTATACAGGTTAGAACCACTCTACAACACCATAAAAGGAGACATACACTAACTGTACTGTACTTTTTGCACAGTCTTTACCTTACATCGACGAGATTCCCTCCTACTTGTACCCCTACTTAACAGATGTTACCGATGTCCCACCTGATGGACTTTGCGCCTTTTCATCTGTTGCTGTTTCTCTTGGTCGTACACCGGATCAAGCAACCACTATTCGCAGCAAGCTTGAACACGAGGTTATGTCCCGATACAAATGGTACGAGGAACACACCTCAAAATTTTGTCTCAATTACGATATCAAACGTATACTCAAGATACTTCAAAACCCAAACAAAACGGCCGGCCAAGAACTATGGTTACCAATGCCTGGAGCATCAACAATAATCGCGAACACGTACCACCAACCAGTCATTTTTTACACCAAAAATCTCGCTGCAACGATGCACACCGTTCCTTTCTTTTCACCTCCAACCTCTGATATCCGACCCATCATCATCGCACACGTTGCAGGCTATCATTATGTCTCCTTAGAAGTCTCCCTCAACCCTTCACTACCTATACCTCATCCTAATCCGGAATGGTATAGTCTACATGATCAAAGTGCACAAGGTTGGGATGGTATCTATTGCCCAAATGTGGAGGTTTTCAGAAAGTTAGCAAAGGCAAGCAGGCGAGCTAGAAATGAAGAATGGGCTCAAAGTCGTGCAGGTTTACCAGAGCCAGATGCAATATCACTGGTCTCTGAGGAACCACAAGAAGGAAATGAAAGTGACAATCATAGGGACAACGAAAAAGAAAATGATGAAACTGCAAAAAGTTCTCCTCTATCTAGCCCCCGATCTTAAAAGTGTACATGTATGTAATCTCTTGCGAGAATGTATGTCAAATACATTCTCGCCAATATCTCCAATATAGAATTCATATGAACTCCACAAATCTTCATGAATTTGAGTGGCCACGTTAGAGTAAGCTGCCCTGTATTGACCTCTTGTGAAGTTCATCACATCATTGAAATGTTCAATGATGCGATGAATTCCATAGTTGACCTTGAGTTACGAACACTTTCACACTGAAATTCAATGGGAACCCACATTGAGCTACATAATACACTAAAATTTTGTAGGAACCAGAGATAACAAAAGCGGAAAGTGTACGAAGAAAGTTCACAATTGAATGTGAGCTACATTTTGAAACTTCATTTAGGAAGTCACATTTGATTGTTGATAGTTCTGATTCAATTGTGAACTTTGTAGCCATATTGTGAACTGATTATTTATACAGTTTGCATTTAATTGGGAACTTCGTAGAGAGATGGTGAACTGAGTATACAGTTCACATTTGATCTCGAATGTGAACTGTAGACAAATTGTGAACTGAATATACAGTTCACATTTGATCTCGAAATTTGCAGACAAATTGTGAATTGAATATACAGTTCACATTGAATTGTGAACTGGATTAATAGTTCACATTTAATCTTGAAATTTGTAGAGATGTCACATTTAATTGTGACCTTTGTAGAGAGATTGAGCACTTAATATACAGTTCACAAGTTCACATTTTTTTATGAAATTTGAGGAGGAATTATGAACTAGATATATAGTTCACGATTACTTGTGAAATTTGTAGACCATTCACATTTAATTGTCAACTTTAGAGATTGTGAACTGATTATACAGTTTAAATTTATTTGGGAACTTTGTAATTGTGAACTGAATATACACTTCACATTTACCTGTGTAATGGAAATGTACAGAGATATTGTGAACTGAATATACTGTTTACATTTCATTGTGAACTTTGTAATTGTGAACTGATTATATACTTCACACTCAGTTGCGAAATTTGTAGACAGATTGTGAACTGATGATACAGTTCAAATTCGATTGTGAACTGTATCATCAGATTGTGAACTGAAGAAACTGCTCACATTTAATTGTGAACTTCATGGGTCGGTCAGATTTTATTGTGAACAGAGTATCTCGGTTTTATTGTGAACTGTGTATGAACTTCACGATCAAATGTGAAGGTCGTATTGTATTGTGAACTGAAGAAACAAACAGTTCACATTTAATTGTGAACTGTTTGTGTTGGTCAGATTTTATTGTGAACAGAGTATCTCACATTTATTGTGAACTGTGTATGAACTTCACAATCAACACAATCAAATGTGAAGCTCGTATGAACTTCACCATCAATTGCGAAGTTCATAGCTTTTGTGATTTAGGTTTCCAACTCACATAGCATTTATAGAAGTAACTACTATGAAGACTATGAAGTAAACATATATGAAGCATTCATATACTTATGCGAATGACATCACATTATTATAAAGGGCAGGTCTATGAACTATATCAAAGGTTGACATCCAATTGTGAACCACTGATGATTATAGACTACATTATCATGTAAATGTGATCTTCAATCATTTCATATGATCTTCTTTCATTTCCCTACGTTACATCTCCCATGATGTTTTCAAGGTTTCAATCGACTTATTAAGCTCTCATTTAGTTGAGAACTAGACATCAGGTTCAGATGGATTTATGAACAACACTACATTATTATAAAGCACACCATTTGAAATAAACAAATGCCTCAATTGTGAAACACACCCATAGAAGCATGGTGAGTTATGATCTGCATAAAATTTCCTATTGGATAGCACTGACTGTAAAGTTTACATTTCAAAGTTCAGAAAACTGTGAAATATGACAAACCATTTCGATGTGAACTGGTTTCAAATTTGAACAGCATTTGTGAATTTTATATATTTGAATGTGAACTTGACTCATTTTGTGAAACGAAATGAGTTAGTGACCTCTTCATATCAAGAGGTCAATGGGTGTGAACTGCAAGATGTGAGCCGAATTAGATATGTAGTTTCACAAGTGACTGTGTGAACCAAAGTCAGACTTCACAATATTATACAATCCGAATTGTATAATATTGTGAACTGTCTAATCCAGTTCGCATTTGGATGTGAACTGTATAACCAAGTTCACTTTTGGATGTGAACTGGTTTCAATTTGTGAGCAGTGAGTGAACAGTAAATTGTGAACTGTGTCATTGAAATGTGAACTTGATCCAATACGTGAACTGCAAATGTGAATTGGCAGTTCACGATCACGGAGCACAGCAAATCAAGTTCACATTGGGATGTGAACTGGTTTCAATTTGGTAGCAGTTAGTGAACAGTGAATTGTGATCTGTGTCATTTAAACGTGAACTTGATTCGATACGTGAACTGCAAACGTGAACTTGATACAAAGCAAGCTCACGTGGTGTGAACTTCTTTGGCAGTTCACAATCACGGAGCACAGCAAATCAAGTTCACATTTGGATGTGAACTGGTTTCAAGTTGTGAGCAGTGAGTCAACAGTGAGTTGTGAACTTTGTCATTTAAACGTGAACTTGATTCATTACGTGAACTGCAAATGTGAACTTGATACGAAGCAAGCAATGAGGTGTGAACTTCTTTGGCAGTTCACAATCATGGAGCGTCTAGGCGATAATAGCTTATGTGATCCAACCAAGTGAACAAGCTAATATGAGACTCATATTATCCAGGGGAAATGATCAAGAAGAAAAAAATAGATACAATAGATATAACATCCTATTTGATTCTAAATGGCATATCATCAAGATGGTTGGTACGAAAAGTTTGTGGTGATGAAGGAAACCTAAAAATCATTTCGCCAGATTCCTAACTTGATAGCTAAATGCTTCATCTTCAGATGAGCTTGTTCCGCATAACCGGTCAAGACCCTTGCTTGATATGCCTCCGCTTCTCTTTCACTCATACCCTGTTGGTCAATCTTCACCTTTTCAAGACGATGCACCAAAGATTGGGCAATTTGACAAGAGCATCCAAAGCGGGTGATTTCAGCTGACTCTGGTTCGACTCGTTCTCCATCTGCATTATAAGTTTTGGAGGCCGTTGTGGGATGATGCACTTGGGAGTTCCACAACATCTCGACTATACCATCCGAAGCATCCAAGTCGACCGCTAGATTGTAGTCATCCAGAACAAATTGGGCTCCAATACAATTTCCACGTGAAGCCGTCTCTCCTCGCATGTAGAGTTTGCCTGTGGCCCGGTCTATCAATGTGAACAAGCCAAAGGCATATTTTGATGCATCCTTGTCTTTGTGTTTCTTATTGGTGAATTCATCAAAGGTGACTACAATATTCGAACCGAATACCTTGGAGTTGGGTGACACGTAAAAGGATTCGTTTGCCCATGATGGGGCATTGGTTCGACTAGCAATTGAAGCATTTGACTCAAATGCATATAAAGAAAGGCCACTGAATCGCTCAGCAAAGAAGGATTCAATTGCAGGGAGATTGCCCTGTCTTTTCAAGTCGGCCTCCATCTTCCACAGATCGTTGGCCGTGGTTGCATTCCAAGTGTAGTGACCTAAGAACAATGTGTAAGTCAGTGAGGAATCATTCAAATGGGTCTTTTTGATTGGCCTAACTCGCCTCCTTTGACCTCTGGATCGTAACCTGGACGGAACCCTGCAGCAAACATACGACCGAATTTGCGACCCAGTCTCCTGGCCCGGTAAGTAGCACCATTTGTTTTAACCTTGCCTCGAGCTTTGGCATGCTGGTAGATAGTACTAATCAAATGATTATAAGCTTCATAAATGTTGTCCCCCATACTGGCCTTCTCCAGAAATCGTACAACCAGTAAGAGCTCAGATGTATTGAAATCTAGACAGACGACTGTTCCATAGGTCAAAGTGAACCTTGGCTTCCCATAGTGTCTTCCCTTCCGAAAAAAAAGGAACTTTGAGTCGAGGGGAAGACCATAGTGGCTAATCAGATTGGCCTTTTGAATGGACCTAGCATTCGGAAGAGGTTTACTTGGCCTTTCAAGGTGCTTTTGAATTGAACGATTAAGACGTGATAATCGGGTGGCTGGTGACTTATACTTCCCCATAACACTACTTCCGTTTTGATGTAATAAGAACTTGAAGATAAGGAATAAAACGTTTGAGTAATACTAGTAAGATAATAGAAGAAGAATGATTTAATGATATATGAGATGAGAGAGGAAATAAGTGAGGATGATGACAAGATGTGAGAGTAATTATCCACAAGTTCCTCCTAAAACAAATCAGGCAATATCAAACTTATACTCCCTTCTAGCTTCTGAATTATGCGTCGCGATGAACCAAGGTCCGAAGCATGCAAGGGAAGTATAAGAATGAGATCACTTGTGAAAGGTTGGAATGGTCGATATTATCTGATCAATGTCACCTTGGAGAGGGAATTGGTTTCAAAGGATGATTGAAAAACGTATGAAATAACGGGATTCTGAGGAAGGAAGAAAAATTCTATTCTGGCGGTCAGAATAGATCAGACTGTGAATTCCCCACGGGCCTTACCTCAATAAGTAGGCATTTCAGCGTGCTTCATTGGCTACTTTGGGCAGGGTGTTTAAAAATGTCAGACTAAATGAATGTCGAGGTCGGACAATGTGGACGGGGTTGCACGTTAAGCCTAATTGAATGTGTATGTACAGCGCACAAGCTATCAACATCGTATCTCTGGTCCACGATACTGTTATAGTCCAGAATTATACAAAGCCACGTTTCAGGAAGGAAGAGAAAGTACATTAGAGAAAAGAAAATGGGTGTTTAGACACCAGACTTGAGTTTCTCCACCTTAAAAAAACAAGAGGCATAAACGTATAGAGGCATACGTTTCGCCCCTATGTTTTTTTAAGGTGGAGAAGATACCACAAATCTTAAGATTGATATTGGATTTTGAACTTGAAGAGGAGGTAGTTCGAGAAAGTGTTGACAATGAAAGTTTTCCCTCTTGCAGGAAAGCATATTTAACAAAGAATGAAAACAGATATTGCCCACATCTTCAAAGATTTTGCGTGAGTTTTGTACCTGGGAGGAAAACAATACCACTATATTTAAGGTTGAAATTGGATTTGCAAGGTGAAGATGAGGGAATTCGAGAAAATCTTGATAATGAACCTTTTCCCTCATGCAGGAAAGCGTATTTAACAAAGAAGCAAAACAAAGATCTTGCACATCTTCAAAGAGTTTGAGTGAGTTTTGTACCTGGGAGGAAGACAATACCACAAATCTTAAGATTGATATTGGATTTCGAACTTGAAGAGGAGGGAATTTGAGAAAATGTTGATAATGAAAGTTTCCCAGAATGCGGGAAAGCATGTTTACCAAAGAAGCAAAACACATATTTCCCACATCTTCAAAGAGTTTGTGTGAGTTTTGTACCTGGGAGGAAGCCAATACCACATTATTTGAGATTGCAATTGGAATTCCCATTTGAAGATGAGGGAAATCAAGAAAATGTTGATAATGAAAGTTTCCCAGCATGCAGGTAAGCATATTTGACAAAGAAGCAAAACAGATATTTCCCACATCTTCAAAGAGTTTGTGTGAGTTTTGTACCTGGGAGGAAGACAATACCACAATATTTAAGATGGACATTGGATTTGCAAGTTGAAGATGAGGGAATTCAAGAAAATGTTGATAATGAAAGTTTCCCAGAATGCAGGAAAGCATGTTTAACAGAGAAGCAAAACACCTATTTCCCACATCTTCAAAGAGTTTGTGTGAGTTTTGTACCTGGGAGGAAGCCAATACCACAATGTTTGAGATTGAAATTGGATTTCCCATTTGAAGATGAGGGAAATCAAGAGAATGTTGATAATGAAAGTTTCCCAGATGTGGGAAATAGGTGTTTTGCTTCTCTGTTAAACATGCTTTCCTGCATTCTGGGAAACCTTCCATTATCAACATTTTCTTGAATTCCCTCATCTTCAAATGGGAATTCCCAATTTCAATCTCAAAAATTGTGGTATTGGCTTGCTCCCAGGTACAAAACTCACACAAACTCTTTGAAGATGTGGGAAATAGGTGTTTTGCTTCTTTGTAAAATATGCTTACCTGCATGCTGGGAAACTTTCATCATCAACATTTTATTGATTTCCCTCATCTTCAAATGCGAATTCCAATTTCAATCTCAAATAATGTGGTATTGGCTTCCTCCCAGGTACAAAACTCACACAAACTCTTTGAAGGTGTGGGAAATATGTGTTTTGCTTCTTTGGTAAATATGCTTTCCTGCATTCTGGGAAACTTTCTTTATCAACATTTTCTTGATTTCCCTCATCTTCAAATAGGAAATCCAATTGCAATCTCAAATAATGTGGTATTGGCTTCCTCCCAGGTACAAAACTCACACAAACTCTTTGACGGGTTGGGGATTAAAACCAAACAGAATCCATCCATCAGTGTCTCTTTAGTGGTTCAATCTAAAAGGCTAGTACTAGTACTATACCCTTTATAGCACTATACACAGCCAAGTATTGTCGTTATCTGACAGCAGAGACAGTACCCAATCTATTATATTACATTGAGCCTTTCTCACGTTTGTGAATGAACTGTATCCATCACATAAGCCATTTATCATACTCTGACCGCACCCAATTGATCTTCCTTTCCAAAATCAATTCAGAAAATGAACCAAGCAATGTCATATTTCTCACATAATTAATCAGTGAAATCTAATCAGTGATTGCTAGTAGTGTCCCAGTCGGATGATGCCGGATGGCAGCCAATTGCCAATGTCAATTTATGTCATTCAGTCCGTGGTTCAATCTTACCTAATTGGGCATATGAAACCCAAGTGGCAGTCGGTGCCAACTCCTTTTGGAAAGGGCTATGTATTATAATTGTGAACACTTAGCATTGGCCAGGTTTTGCATGGAAATGTAAATGGGGGTAACCCATTAGGGGTACACAAACATCTCAACCCGACCTTAAAAACCCATCCAAAAAACCCGTGCCAACCCGATTGATTTTGAGTTTTTGGCACTAAAAAATCCAAAAATCAATCGGGTTGCCATGGGTTTTATTAGGTTGGGTTGAGATGTTTGTGTACCCCTATTGGTATTGGATGTGCCACTTAATTCCCCCGTGAGGTCATCAGGTGTTTCCCTCTCAATAATCAACTTGGCCTTTTGCCCAATCAATGGGGGGAAAAAAAGGAAGATCTATAGCATGCCCTTTAGGACGTTCAGCCAAAAGACGACCACAGCCTACCCCACAAGGTTCCAGCCAGATCATTGCGGATTTAGATGCCAGCGAGGTACGCTGGCTGGAACAACAGTCCCAACGCTTGACAAATCAACCACCACCTCAACATGAAGCGATGCAGGCACCTCCTCCAGACCTATTCGATCCTGAGGGTGAAAACGACTATATTTCCGATATCAATCCTGAAGAAGCATACCTCATTAATCATAATATCCTGGACGACAGCAATGAGGAGCCACCTGAAGTCAACAACTTCAGTGAATACGCGAAGGGTTCAAACTACAAAAAAAACAGATCAAAGAGGCCCAAAATTGGGCAAAGGTGTTTGGTCCGATGTTCCTCAATTTCATGGTAGGTTCCAAACGGACAACTCAATGGGGTCTAGACACTTGGAGTGTCGATTACAACAAGTCTTGTTCATGTGGAACTGGTAAACACCGCTTGCGAAAGGTAGACCTGGTGGACCTTACAAGTACTGTAAAATTGACTTCTGCATTTCCACCTTTCACTTAGCTGATTGCCCATCAGAAAACAGGTTGCAATCAAAAGGCAATCCTTTTCTGTGACTGTCTACCTGATCAAGTGAGGCTAATCCGGATGGGATTCATTGGAGGGTCTCCAATTCACCCTGAGAGTGCATTTTCAATCAGACTTTTGCGACTTCACCATAGCCTATGGAAGTATTGCTCAGTTCAAACACAGGGCTTCTCACTTGGTTTTGATGAATTCTTGGATCCAGCTAACCCACTCCTTTTGGTAGCGGGTACAAGTGAGGTATGTAATTTATCCTCTCATTCCAATGGTATCATGAATTTTTACTCATCAATGTTCTTATGTCAGCCTCGAAGGTGGCGACGGCCTTTCTCCCTGGCTATAGACGCTTACAGACAGATGCTTCGATATGAGGAGGAGCTGACCATCCGTGCACTAGGTCTAACGACCATGGAGAAGTTGGCCATGAATTGCCCACGGTGTTTTGGACCTCTTCAAGCAAACCCTGAACCTGATGAGCCGGACTACATAGTTTGTGTCGATGGAAATTTCCAGCATCGCCGGCACAAGGCAGCCAGTCGAGAGTATGAAGAAAAGGTGGTTAAAATTCCTCCTCTATTCATTGATCCCAAAAAGGTCGAAGAATGGGAGCCCGTGAAGAACAAACATGTTGTCAAATCTAATGTATTTTCAATCCAAAATAAAGCACCTCCTCTCATGTCAGGGCTGAAAAAATTCTTCCGTATAAGGATCATTGCTCTTCTCAGCATACTGCAGCAGCAGACCAGCGAGGTGGCTCGACATGGAAGGCTGCCGATGAAACAGGCCTCATTGGGATGGCCTGTCAACATGATCATGTGCTGAGTTTTGTCAATGTGGTTCAAAGCGGTGAAAGGCAAGTCTATCAAATACTAACCCTAAGCATGATGAAACTACGGAATGCGAGACGTTCCAAAGTGACAATGCGAAATTTCAAAAAACGAAAATCACAATCCCCGGGTGCGAAATTCAAAAATCAAAGACAAAACTACAGAAAATACTCAAATACAGGGATAAAACCCCTGTACCGGAGTAAAAGTCATGGCAAAAACCCCTTTTTGCCCAATTTTCCAGTGGTCGACACCGTTTTCATTGCATTGTCACCTTTTGACAAAAAGTACCAGCAACACCAAAAACCAAAAAATCAAAAAACCAAAAATCAAAAAATACATTTCTCAAACTTTACAATTCAAACACCAAAGTTAGATTCTACTGCAGTCAAAAACCACATGTTGGCCAACTAGCTACAAGCTTGGTCTCACAGGTATCAACACCTCCGACCAGAGACATTCTACCATCAGTCTCAAGAGCTTCAAAGTACCTGCTTACTGTCTCGCTCTCCTCCAAAACCTCTTTCATCATCATCAATCCTCTTTGATTGTCCTTGATCTTCTTATTTCTTTGTCATCCATCCTCAATCTTCCTCAATCTTCGTCATCCGTCCTCAGTCTTCTTATTTCTTTGTCAACCGTCCTTGATCCTCCTCAATCTTTGTCACCCGTCCTCGACCTTCTTCTTTCTTTGTCAACCGTCCTTGATCTTCCTCAATCTTCGTCACCCGTCCTCGATCTTCTTCTTTCTCCGTCAACCGTCCTCAGTCTTCTTATTTCTTCGTCAACCGTCCTCGATCTTCCTCAATCTTCGTCAACCATCCTTGATCTTCCTCAATCTTCCTCAATCTTTGTCAACCATCCTTGATCTTCCTCAATCTTCGTCAACCATCCTCGATCTTCTTCTTTCTTCGTCACCCGTCCTCGATCTTCTTCTTTCTTCGTCAACCGTCCTCATTCTTCTTCAATCTTCGACAACCGTCCTCAATCTTCTTCAATCTTCGTCAACCGTCCTCAACCTTCTTCTTTCTTTGTCGACTGTCCTTGATATTCCTCAATCTTCTTAGACCATCCTCGATCTTCTTTGATTATCCTGAATATTCTTTGACCATCCTCAATCTTCTGCAATCCTCATCCAAACACCTTCAATCTCCATCACCAACTACACACCAACATGCCAGCGAAAATATCTGATGAAATCTTGCGACCGCTTTTGGAAGAAGCTGTGGCTAACAACTGGCCAGCACAAACAGTATGCAACACTGTTTGGCAACGGCACAACATCCGAGTATGTGTAAGAACTGTTAGAAGACGGATCAAAGAATGGGACTTGAAACAACAAGGAAATTATGATGTGGAGGTTGTAAAGGATGCAGTATTAGATAATTACAAACAATCTCTGAACCAAAAGCGAGCTCTCATTGCCCTCAAAAACGAACACAACATCATCATCAGCCGGTCAACTTTAGCTCGAGTTGAGAAGCAACTCAATCTTCACCGCCAAAAGGATGATCTTGACATGGGTGTAGTAACATATGCCACCGTATGTAGCAAGATTGAAGAACTTCAGATTGAATATGGAAATGTACTTGGAATCAAGAGTATCAAGAAGATGCTAGCTCAGGAACACGAGCTTCACATCCACCGGCAAGTGTTTGGGCCTTCTTGATTCCATTTGCTCTGATGCTAATTACATTTGAAATCCTCTTTGATATAGTGATGTTATTGCGGCTATGATGAAGGCAATGGACCCAGATGCTGTCAGAATGAGAGCTGCTCATAAACTCAAGCGACGGGAATACTATGCGGGCGGTCCCAATGAGGTTTGGGCGGCCGATGGACACGACAAGTTGATCAACTTTGGAATTGGTATATATGGATTCCATTGATTTGCCTGGTCTCGAAAAGATTTTGGGACTTCATGCTCATGTCACCAAC